AGGAGGCTGCTTGTTTCTGGACGCAGCAATACCTGTCCCTCCCGGGAATTTCTGAGGTCTGCCTGTCTTCTTGGGGGGGGGAGCAGGGGGTTATGTGGGGAGCCCTAGGGGAGCAGCCTTGTCACTGGGGTTGAGTGAGGAGAGCTGCTTCTCCCCTGAGCCAGCTGGTGGGGGTGGCAAAGAGGCTCCCTGTGCCCCAGTCACCTGGCGGCAGGTTATTCATGGCTCCTCCTTCTCCTTGTTGACCCCCTTGGACAGGCAGGCCAGTTTTCCTGCTTGGCTGCTGCACTATTGATCTCTGGCTGCTGCTGCGGCTGAAGTGCTTTGGGCCAAGCGGGTCCATAAATCATTCCAAACGCATCTGGGGTCAGCCGCGGGGGGGTGGCCCTGGCCCTGGCATTGGTTTGATGCACCATCCCTCGGGGGTCTCCCTCCAGCTCTTCCCTTGACTTCCCCCTTGGATAACCTAGAATAGAATCATAGAATCCTAGAGTTGGAATAGACCCCAAGGGCCATCGAGTCCAACCCCCTGCCAAGCAGGAAACACCATCAGAGCACTCCTGACATCTGGTTGTCAAGCCTCTGCTTAAAGACCTCCAAAGAAGGAGACTCCACCACACTCCTTGGCAGCAAATTCCACTGTCGAACAGCTCTTACTGTCAGGAAGTTCTTCCTAATGTTTAGGTGGAATCTTCTTTCTTGTAGTTTGGATCCATTGCTCCGTGTCCGCTTCTCTGGAGCAGCAGAAAACAGCCTTTCTCCCTCCTCTATGTGACATCCTTTTCTATATTTGAACATGGCTATCATATCACCCCTTAACCTCCTCTTCTCCAGGCTAAACATGCCCAGCTCCCTTAGCCGTTCCTCATAAGGCATCATTTCCAGGCCTTTGACCATTTTGGTTGCCCTCCTCTGGACACGTTCCAGTTTGTCAGTGTCCTTCTTGAACTGTGGTGCCCAGAACTGGACACAGTACTCCAGGTGAGGTCTGACCAGAGCAGAATACAGTGGCACTATTACTTCCCTTGATCTAGATGCTATACTCCTATTGATGAGGCCCAGAATTGCATTGGCTTTTTTAGCTGCCGCGTCACACTGTTGGCTCATGTCAAGTTTGTGGTCAACCAAGACTCCTAGATCCTTTTCACATGTACTGCTCTCAAGCCAGGTGTCACCCATCTTGTATTTGTGCCTCTCATTTTTTTGCCCAAGTGCAATACTTTACATTTCTCCCTGTTAAAGTTCATCTTGTTTGTTTTGGCCCAGTTCTCTAATCTGTCAAGGTCGTTTTGAAGTGTGATCCTGTCCTCTGGGGTGTTAGCCACCCCTCCCAGTTTGGTGTCATCTGCAAATTTGATCAGGATGCCCTTGAGTCCATCATCCAAGTCGTTGATCAAGATGTTGAATAAGACCGGGCCCAAGACAGAACCCTGTGGCACCCCACTAGTCACTCTTCTCCAGGATGAAGAGGAACCATTGATGAGCACCCTTTGGGTTCGGTCAGTCAGCCAGTTACAAATCCACTGAGTGGTAGCATAGTCAAGACCGCATTTTACCAGCTTCTTTACAAGAATATCATGGGGCACCTTGTCAAATGCCTTGCTGAAATCAAGGTAGACTACATCCACTGCGTTCCCTTCATCTACCAGGCTTGTAATTCTGTCAAAAAACGAGATCAGGTTAGTCTGACATGACTTATTTTTCAGAAATCCATGCTGACTATTGGTGATCACAGCATTCCTTTCTAGGTGCTCACAGACTGTTTGCTTAATGATCTTCTCCAGAATCTTCCCTGGTATTGATGTCAGACTGACTGGGCGGTAATTATTTGGGTCCTCTCTTTCCCCTTTTTGAAAATAGGTACAACATTTGCCCTCCTCCAGTCTGCCGGGACTTCGCCTGTTCTCCAGGAATTCTCAAAGATGACTGCCAGTGGTTCTGAAATCACATCTGCCAGTTCTTTTAATACTCTTGGATGCAGTTCATCTGGCCCTGGAGACTTGAATACATCTAGACTAGCCAAGTATTCTTGTACTATCTCCTTAGTTATTCTGGGCTGTGTTTCCTCTGCTGAATCATTTGCTCCAAATTCTTCAGGTCGGGCATTGTTTTCTTTATCGGAGAAGACTGAGGCAAAGAAGGCATTGAGGAGTTCAGCCCTTTCTGTGTCCCCTGTTTGCATTTCACCATCTTCTCCTCTGAGTGACCCCACTGTTTCTTTGTTCTTCCTTTTGCTACGGAACATACCCATAAAAGCCTTTTTTGTTGCTTTTAACCTCTCTAGCAAGCCTGAGTTCATTTTGTGCTTTAGCTTTTCTGACTTTGTGTCTACACGTGCTGGCTATTTGTTTGAATTCCTCTTTGGTGGTTTCCCCCCTTTTCCATTTTTTGTACACATCCTTTTTTAATCTTAACTCAGTTAAAAGTTCTTTAGATAGCCACCCTGGCTTCTTTAGGCACCTTCCATGTTTCCGTCTCATTGGTATTGCCTGAAGTTGTGCTTTTACTATCTCCCTCTTAACAAACTCCCAGCCATCTTGAACTCCCTTTCCTTTTAGTATTACTGTCCATGGGATCTCACCCAGCACTTCCCTAAGTTTTATGAAGTCGGCTTTCTTAAAGTCAAGAAATTGAGTCCTAGTATGCTTGGCTGCTCCTTTCCGCTGTATAGTAAACTTCAGAAGAGCATGATCACTCGTGCCTAATGATCCTTCCACTTCTACCCCACTAACCAGGTCATCAACATTGGTTAGGACCAGATCTAAAATGGCTGTTCCTCTTGTTGCTTCTCCCACTTTCTCGACAATGAAGTTGTCTGCAAGGCCAGTGAGGAATCTGTTTGACCTTATGCTCTTGGCTGAGTTTGACATCCAACAAATATCCGGGTAATTGAAGTCCCCCATTACTACTATCTCCCTTCCTTTTGCATGCTTGGCCATCTGTTCCAGGAAGGCATCATCTATGTCCTCCGTTTGGCTTGGGGATCTATAGTAAACTCCCACAATGAGGTCACTGTTATTCTTCTCTCCCTTAATTTTGACCCAAATGCTCTCACTTTGGCTTTGAGGTTCTAAATCTTGGATCTCTTCACAGGTATACACATCCCTGACATATAACGCCACTCCTCCTCCTTTCTTGTCTGGTCTGTTTCTTTGAAATAGATTGTATCCCTCCATTATTACATTCCAATCGTAGGATTTATCCCACCAGGTTTCAGTGATTCCTATTATGTCATATTTAGTTTGCTGTACCAGGAGCTCAAGCTCATCTTGTTTATTTCCCATGCTTTGCGCATTAGTGTACAGACATTGAAGTCCATTAATCATTCCCCCGTGTCTCTTATTTAAGGATTTTCTCCTCCCACCACTAGGTCTGCATGCTCTTTGCTCCATTCGGTCTATGACATTTGGATGATCATCTTCATCAATTGATAGACTCCTATCTTCAGGAGCACTGTCTCCCTCCCCCACATTAGTCAGTTTAAAGCCCTCCTGATGAGGTTTCTGAGATTTTTTGCAAAAACATTCCTCCCAACCGTTGTGAGGTGCAGCCCATCGCTTGCCAGAAGTCCATCTTCAAGAAACTGCATTCCGTGATCTAAGAATCCAAACCGTTCCTGTTTGCACCATTTGCGAAGCCAGCTGTTCACTTCCACTATTTTTCCCTCTCTCCCTGGGCCACGTCGTTCAACTGGGAGGACAGATGAGATGACAATTTGTGCATTTAATTGCTTCAATTTCCTGCCCAGAGCCTCGTAATCTCTTTTGATCTTCTGGAGGCTATTGCTTGCAGTGTCATTGGTTCCCACATGAACCAAGAGGAAGGGGTATTTGTCAGTGGGTTTTATGATTCCTTGCCGTCGTTCAGTTACATCTTGGATCTTAGCCCCGGGGAGACAGCACACTTCCCGAGACATCTTGTCAGGCCCACAGATCACTGCTTCTGTTCCCCTCAGTAGGGAATCCCCTATCACCACTACACGCCTCCTCTTAGGTCTGGTCGGGGTTCTTCTGTGAGCTGTCGGTTCCAAGGTCGCCTGGACATTCCCAGAGGACTGCCTTTGCTCCTCGTCTTCATATACCTGATCGACTGTCTCTCTGGGGGGTGAGGGAGAAAGAGGGGACAGGGGTCCTTGTTTGCCTGCCTGCTCATTTGGGCCATTGGCACACAGCAGTTCATTAACATCCATCCCTCCGTATTTTACGATACCATTTTCAATCCCAAACAGCAATAAGAATCCACAGCGGCTCCTTGCAAGGACAGCAGGCTGCTCACCCAGACTTTTGGGGGGTCGGCGCCCCTTGCCCTCCTGGCCCTTCCGAGGGGACGACGCGGAGGCAAGCAGCTTTTGCTACCTGGCAGAGCAGCCCAGCGGCCGGAGGAGGCAGGACTCTCTGTCCCACTGGGGGAAGGAAGCCCTTCGCCTCCAATCCCTCCAGCTCCAGGACACACCAAAAGGCCAAGCTCGCCCTCCTCTGCCCAGGGCTCCTGCTGGGGCCTCTTGGCCTGAGGAGCCCTCTGGGTACCTGAGGCTGAGCCTCAAAGCAGGGCAGGCCATGGCCCTTGGCTGGGCACCAGAGGTCAGGGGGGCTGTGCTTTGGCAGGCTTTCTTCCTCGACTGACTGACTGACTGGGAGGGGAGCCTTAGAAACCAGTGGCCTCTACTCTCCCCATAGGCAAAGGTAAAGGCCCCCTGGACGGTTAAGGCCAGTCAAAGGCAACTATGGGGTCGTGGCGCTCATTTCGCTTTCAGCCCTAGGGAGCCGGCATTTTTCCACAGGCAGCTTTCCGGCCAGCAGGACTAAACCGCCACTGGCGCACGGAGGACTGTGATGAGCGCCAGAGCGCACAGAAATGCCATGTACCTTCCTGCCACAGCGGTATCTATTTATCTATTTGCGCTGGCATGCTTTCAAACTGCTAGGTTATCAGGAGCTGGGACAGAGCTCACCCCATCATGGGGATTCAAACTGCGGACCTTCCAACCAGCATGCCCAAGAGGCTCAGTGGTTTAGAGCACAGCGCCACCCACATCCCTACTCTCCCCATAGCAGGGCTCAGCCCCAGATTTGCTGGGGGAAGAGTCAGGCCTGTGCCTCCCCTGCCCAGCTCCCCCATGACCCCCAGCAGCTTGCTTCCCACCCCCTCCTGGCCCAGCCTGGGCAGATCGATGTGGCTGCCTAGATTTTGCTGGCAGGGATGAGAGCAGGATGTGGAGCATGGACCCTGGCCTGGGAATGTCCCCCGGCCAGAAAGGCAGAAGGAAGGGAATGTGTGTGCAGATTGGAACTGGCGAGAGATCCGTACAGCCTCTGCCAGGCTCACCTGTACCTGTTTGCTCCTCCCACAGGGCTCAAAATGCCTCCCAGGGCAAGGGGCGGCTGAGCAGAGGAGCTCCAGGCCCAAGAAAGGTGTCTGGCACCACGGAGGAGGAGTCGCCACCGCCGCCTTCCGGTGGACCTGGAAGGGGCACCTGCCAGTCCTGTGAGAAAAGGCCCCTCTCCCAGCCACGTCGTCAGCTGCCCTTCCGAGGAGCCTCTTGGGAGAAGTGGCCTTTGACCTGAGGTCGCAGCCAGCCCAGCTGCTGAGTGTCACTCCCTGCGCCCCCCGGAGATGCCAGCCAAGACCCCCATCTACCTGAAGACCTCGACCCCCAAGCGGGGCCGGAAGCTGCGCCTGCGGGACGTGCTCTCCAGCGACATGATCAGCCCCCCGCTGGGCGACTTCCGCCACAGCGCCCACATCGGCCGGGACGGGGAGGGCGACATGTTTGGGGAGCTCTCCTTCCTGCAGGGCAAGTACGACCTGCTGCCCCGCCTCGGCCGCTGCGGGGGCTCCCCGGGGGGCAGCTACCGCACCCTCCTGAAGAGCGCCGTCTCCCTGCCCGCCTTCAGCGGCGCCCAGGACCAGGCGCCCCCCAAGCCCCCCCGCCTCCACCTGGAGGAGATGCCCAGTGGCGGGGGGCAGGGGCGCTCCATGTCGGTGGGCTGTGCCAGCGCCGCCGAGGGCCTCTCCTTCTCCGCCACGGCTGCCGCCCACTACGAGCCGCTGTCCTCTTCCGTCTCCTTCTCGGCCCCCCCACCAGAAGGCGGCTGTTTTGTGGGGGGCAGCGGGTACCATGCGGTGGGCAGCCAGGAGTGCCCCTGTGGGGGAGGAGCCCCCCTGCCTCGCTCGGAGTCCCTGCTGCGCCTCGACCTGGACCTGGGCCCCTCCATCTTGGATGACGTCCTGCGCATCATGGAGGAATACCAGCGGCCTGTGCCCAAAGCCCTGTAGAGCATCCGCCTGCCCACGCGCCCCTCCTCTGCTCCACCGGTGTGGCTGCGGTCATCCTGCTGAACGTCCCCAGAGGGGCTGGACCTGCAGGGTCCTGGGGTGACGGGGAGAGGCAGCCCCATTTGCCTGCTGAAGGGCCCAGGCAGGCAGCAAGGAGAGGCAGGGGCTTGGCCAGGAGCCGAATTGAGGGGGGTCTTTGCTGAAAGAGAGTGGGGGGCAACGCCAGAGGAGGTCCCACCCGAGGGGCGGCAAGGAGGCACCACCTTGCAGCTGCCCCCTCAGGCGTCGGCCAAGGTCCACCTGGCCCAGCCACAGAGGCACGAAGGACACGAAGGCAACAGCCTCCCCCCCCTCCAGCATCTGCTATGTGGAGATAGACTTCCTCTGAATATGGAGGTTCTGCATAGCTATCATGACTTATGAGCCACTGGACAGACCTCCCCCCGTCTCCATGATTGTTTCATTTTGATGGCATCCTGTATTGGGACCCAGAGCGATGTTTTGGGACAGTGGATTCTGTGCATTAAATATTGTCCTCTTGCCTCAAAGGGAAAGTGCTCCAGCCCCCTCGTCGCTTGGGTGGCCCCTTTCTCAGGTCTACAGACGTGCTCAAAGCATTCCAACATAACTAAGATTTGTTTCAGGGCATCATCATAGAATGGTAGAGTTGTAAGGGATCCCCAGGGGTCCTCTAGTCCAGCCCCTTGCAATGCAGGAATCTCAGCTCAGGCTTCCCTGACAGGTGGCCCTCCAGCCTCTGCTTTAAAATCTCTGAGGAAGGAGAGGCCACAACCCCCCAAGGGAGGAGACTGTTCCACTGTGGAGCAGCTCTTGCTGCCAGAAAGCTCTTCCCAGGGTTTAGCCAGAATCTCCTTCCTTGTAACTTGAAGCCTTTGCTTCAGACGCGCCATCTTCTATGTGGCCCTCTAGATATTTGAAGATGGCTCTCATATCTCCATCTCAGTCTCCTCTTTACGAGGCCAAACATACCCAGCTGCTTCAACCATTCCTCATCAGGCTTGGTTTCCTGACCCTTGATCATCTTGGTCGCCCTCCTCTGCACATGTTCCAGCTTGTCAATATCCTTAAATTGTGGCGCCCAGAACTGGACACAGTGTCCCGTGTGTGGTCTGACCAAGGCAGAAGAGAGTGGGACTTTTGCTTCCCTTGATCTGGACACTAGACTTCTAGCATTTGTTCAGCTTGTGGCCCACCAAGACCCAGAGATCTTTTTCACATGTCCTGCCAGTAAGCCAGGTGTCCCCCATACTATATTGGTGCGTCTGGTTCTTCCTGTCTAAGGTTCTTTATGTTTGTCCCTACAGGGAATCATTTTGTTAGCTTGCACCCAGTTCTCCAATCTGTTAAGGTCATTTTGAATTCTGATCCTGTCTTCCACGGCATTAGCTACCCCTCCCCGTTTGGTGTCTTCTGCAAATTTGATGAGCATCCCCTCAATTCCTTCCTCCAAGTCATTTATACAGACATTGAACAGCAATGGCCCCCCACTCACTTTGCCCCAGGACGGCGAGGATCCATATCATACTGGCAGTATTATTTTTATCCCTTCCCTAATACGAAATTAACCTTGTTCAAAGCTGCTCCACTTGTGGTTTATGCTTTCCCTGAGCTATCCACTGTGACCCCAAGATCTCATGCAGTGACGGTATCTGAGCTCCCAGGAACCTGGACAATGGGCTTATTTTGCCCCAGTGAGCATCACTTTGGCCACAAGGCAGCTCCCCGTCTACTGTGCCAGACATCTCTGCAGCATGGAGCGTTCCTCCCAAGTCTGCTTTGATTCCGGTTGCAAATAGTTTGGTGTTGCCTGCCACCTTCAGACTGATCATGAATAAAAGATCCCATTACCAATTGGTGGGGGACCCCACTGGCTGCTTGCATTGCTTAAAATGTTTTTCTTTTTAAATGCAGATTCCATCAGGTGTTTGGGCTGATAATTAAAGTGGTCTGTAGCAGGTGTGGAAGGAGAAATTAACCCTGGATCCGGAAGTGGGGTTTTCCTCAGGCCTGCGTGGAAAAGAGAAAGGGTTCGCTTTCTCCTCCTCTGTGCCTGGGCTGATCCCATCTGTTACCAGCCGGTCAGGAGGATGTGATTTGCATTTTCAAAAGCCTTCGAGTTAGAAAAATTGAAGCGTCTGGCCTTAAGTGTCCCCAGCATCTCGTGAAGCTCTGCCTTTCTTTTGTGCAAACCTTCCCTGCACCCCGACATGTGCTTGATTTGGGGGTGGGGGGCCTGACACAGTTGAAGGTGCTGAGAGCTTTTTCTTCCTGAGCCAGAATGGAAGAGACCTAGCAGGGCGCAGCGCCTCCTGCAGCCACCAGGGGGCAGCACCTGCCCACTTATCCAGCAAGGAGGCAGCACATTAACCCTTTCTGTGACAGCCAGAGTCTAGCAGGAGGGTTTGCTGAGGGATCAGCCCTCAGGTTGCAAATTCAGAAAACGAGTGGGAAAACCAAGAATGGAAATGAGGGTGCAAGAGAGAAGTGGTCCTGGACAAGTGATACCAGCTGAACATAGGAAGAGCGGGGAGGGGGGGCACCCAGTGGCTAATTAAATGCCCATTACGGGAAACCCACAAGAACAAACTCTCTTCCTATTTCAAAGCCATCCAAGTCAGTGGCCATCACTGCCTCCTTGGGGGGGGGGGGAATTCCAGCTGCTGCCTGCCAGCCCACCCCCCCACCCCCTTTTCCTAGGCTGGTCTGGGGGGTGGGTTAACCCTTTGCCTCCACCCACCCAGAGGTACCATCCCTGCCTCCACCTTGCCAGGGCTCCTGCAACAGCCTGAAAGGGCAGAGCAGCCCTGCCACCGCCTCTCCTGGGCTGCCCCTTCCTAAGGTCTCCCCCTTGGGCCTGGGGCCAATTATGTGGCACCCTCCCCAGCCCCAGTGTACTGGAAGAAGCACAGATCAACAGTGTCAAAGCAATGATTCTTCAACTTTGTTGGACTGGTCGTGTGGTTCAGATGCCTAATGATCGTCTTCCAAAGCAACTACTCTATTCCAAACTTAAAAAGGGAAAGCGTAATGCTGGCGGTCAGCAAGAGAGCTTTAAAGACTCTCTCAAGGCAAACCTTTTAAAATGTAGTATACACCGACAATTGGGAAACACTGGCCTGCGAGCGCTCCAGTTGGAGAACAGCCTTGACCAAAGGTGTCCTGGGCTTTGAAGACACTCGAACTCAGGACACAAGGGAGAAACATGCTAAGAGGAAGGCAGGCATACAAGAAATTTGTAAAATAACTAAGCAAGTAATAGACACCACCCCAGAATTGGCCCTACTAAACATCTTCCAAGACAACAATGCCCATTTACACCACAAAGAACTCATAACCCACCTGCTCTCAGCAGCCAGAAACACCATGACCAGACACTGGAGAGACCTGTCAGGAGTAAGCATGGACCAATGGTATCAAATAGTATGGGAAACAGCCCTACTAGAAAAATTAACTAATAAACTGAAACTGACACGGGGACAAACAGAAGAAGATGCCTTCACCCCGGTATGGCTCCCCTTTATCACACACACAGCCCAACAGGACAATGACAATAATCCACCAACAGCATACAAATCAATATGGCTAACCTGATCCAAAACACCCACCCACCTCACTCACACACGAAAACAAAGATCACCACAGCCAATCACAAGCAAACAATCACACCCTAGGCCAACCCCAACCTCTCTCAAAGGAACACAAGTGAACAACACAAGCACGCTGACACCAAACTCTACATACATTAAACATAATAGAAACACCGCCACCCAATCCCACCCTTATCCATCTTCCCCCTCTCCACCCCCCTTTCTCTTTTCTCTCCTTTTTTTATTTTTATTTTTATTTTCTTCTCCCCCTAATGCCTCAACAAATGAAACGGATTTGTAAAAATGTTACATGGGGAAAAATATATATGAGGCACTACACTTCTGTAAAACAAGAAAATCCTTAATAAAATATTAAAAAAAAAAAAAAAGAGGAAGGCAGGCTTGGCAAACCCTCACCATGATCAACTCCCGCCTGGAAACCCATGTCCCCACTGTGGAAGGACATGTGGATCCAGAACTGGCCCCCACAGTCACTTACGGACTCATTGTTAAAACCTTGTTTATGGAAGACAATCTTACTCAGCTACGAGGGATCGCCAAAGAAGACAACGACTGAATCTGCCGGAGGCAGCCCAGAGAGCCCCCCACCGCCATCCTTTGCCTCTTGCCAAATAAGGAGATCAGAGCCAGGCTCCCCAGGGAGACATCCCTGGGTGCAACCGGAGCCAAGGCTGGGTGGGGAGCCTGGTGCCTTTCTCCACCGAGGCAGAGAAGGGGCTCACCACCCACAGCATCAGAGGGTCAGGCTAGCCTGTACTCCCTGCACAAGGGGGGCAGAAGAAGAGGCTAAGCTGCCCACTGCCAGTCTCGCCTCCTTCCCTGCCACCTCCTCCAGGTGGCCAAGCGTCCATTTTTCAGCACCCAGCCAAGGGCACAGAATCATAGGCTTCTTGTGGCTCTCGTTGGACTCCCTGCAAATGCAGGAGTCGCGGTGGAAGCCTCATCGCTGGGGGGCCACCAGAGCTTTGCACAATTCAAATTGTTGGTGCTGACCTTGAAAGCCCTAAATGGCCTCAAAGGCCCAGTAGACCTGAAGGAGCGTCTCCACCCCCATCATCCAGCCTGGACACTGAGGTCCAGCGCCGAGGGCCTTCTGGCAGTTCCCTCATTGCGAGAAGTGAGGTTACAGGGAACCAGACAGAGGGCCTTCTTGGTAGTGGCCCCCGCACTGTGGAACGCCCTCCCATCAGATGTCAAAGAGAACAACTACCAGACTTTTAGACGACATCTGAAGGCAGCCCTGTTTAGGGAAGCTAATATTTGATGAATTCTTGTATTTTAACTTTTTGCTGGAAGCCGCCCAGAGTGACAGGAAACCCAGCCAGATGGGCGGGGTATAAATAATAAATTATTATTATTATTAAAAGCCACACCCCTGAAGGAGAGTCTACCACCTTGAAGGTGGGAGGCGAGTTTCTCTCCAGCTGCCTGCGATGCGGCAAGAGGCCTCTGGGCAGAGGCTGGCACAGGTTGGCACAGCAAACCACAGAGCGCCATTGAGGGAGAAGAAGACAATAGGCACGTGTGCTCTTTGGGGAGGGGGGCAGGCAGGAGGGAAGCGGCAAAGGCATGAATGCCCCACTGTATCTCCGCTGGGAGCGATGACAGGGCTGAGCCAGGGAGGCCGCCGTGGGGTTTTCCGCCTCCTCCTGCTGAAGGGGGCCAAAGGGCCGTGTGAAGTCATTGTTTTTGGAAGGACAGCCTGAAAAGAGTTCATTTCCAGTCATTAAACCTGGTAGTTAAACGGTGTCTGCCGTGCCAGTTGGGTCCGTGGCTGCAAGCTAAGCAGACCATAAAAGGCCCTCCGCCCCCCAGGTCCCTGCTGCGCTGGGGTTGCCAGAGGAACTGAGGAAAACAAGGCGAGGAAATTGTGCAACTATGAAGGCGCATCACAGAGTGCGGGGAAGCGAATGCCAATCGAGTGTCCAGATCAAGGGAAGTCCATTTCCCTCTCTTCTGCCTTGTCCAGGCCACACCTGGAATACTGCTGCTGGTTCTGGGCAACACATTTTAATCTGGGCGATGAAAATAATCCCGGGTCTGGAAACCGAGCCTTATGAGGAAGAGCTGAAGGGGTTGGGGGGGTGTAGCCTGGAGGAGATAGGAGAGCTGTCTTCCGATATCTCAAGCGCTGCCACACGGAAGGAGGAACACGCCTGTTTCTCCCTGCTCTGGAGGGGGGGGGACTGAACCGATGAATTTAAGTTACAAGGAAGGAGAGTCTAAGAACCAAGAAAACCAAGAACTTGGTGACAGAAAGAGCTGCTTGACTCCCTCCGAAGATTGTGGTCTCTCAGAGGTTGGGTTGGCCATCTGCCAGAGATGCCTGCCTTGACATCAGGGTCCCATCCAGCTCTCTCAGTCTATAGGGAAGACAACCGGGGCAGGAGAAGCCTGTTTTAAAGCGAAGAGACGAGGCCAGCTCTCTCTCCAGGAGGGGAATCCCCCCACTGATGAAAAGGGCAGCCTCCCCACCAAGGGAGGGGGGTGGGACCTGCTCCCCCTCGCTGCCCAAACCCTGACAGAGCTGGAAATGCAGGAAGAGGCGGCCTGGGAAGGTCAGGAGAGGCCAGCGGAGAAGGCCTTGTTGTTCCCGTCCAAAAGGGATGTGCTGCGTGCAGCTGTTTATCCTGAGCTGTAAACAAGATCGGCAGCTGGAGAGGCTGCGTCCCGGAGACGGCCACTGGGCCCACGCAAGGCTGCTACCCCCCAGCCCCAAAGGCCGCTGGAGGCCAGGCTCACGGCCCCCAAAGGGGAGGGCAGCAGGGGGTCACGGAGGCAGCAGCAGCAGGAGCCATCCTCAGAGCCCAGCCACGCTGGCATCATTTTTGAGCTGGAGAGGAGCCCCAGAGAGGGGGGCAGGGACGGACTCTGGTTCACAAGAAGCAGAGCTGGAGGCAGGAGCCCCAAAAGAGGCTTCTGAGCACGTGAGGGGGGGGCCCAGCAGGATCCAAAGCAGCAATTCCTGCATTGCAGGGGGCTGGACTAGATGGCCCAGGGGGTCCCTTCCAACTTCATGATTCCCTGATGGCTTTGGGGGGGGGCACAGGCTGTCTATCCCTGCAGCCGATCTCAGCAGCAGGTGTGCGACAGGCGCCCCCTCCCCAGAAGAAAGCCCACCCCCGCAGCCGAGGCAGCAGCTGACCTGTGAGCCGTTTGAGACAAGAGTGCTTTATTACAGGATACAGGGAAAGCAGACAAGACTGTTCACTGTACAATGGGGAGGGGGTTCAGAGATGCTGCTGGGGGGCGCAGGGGTGCAGCAGCTGGGGGGCTGGGGGACGTCCCTGCAGCCAGATGCAACTGGGGGGGAGATGCGCCTCATCCAGACACCATTGGGACCCTGACGCTGCTGCTGCTGCCGCCACTGGCAGCCTGACCTCTATATTGCCCCCCCCCCGTCCTCCCCCAGGAGTCCACCCCTGAGGCTTTCGGCAAAGCCTTCCGCAAGACCAGGCGGCTCTCACACTCGCTCCTCCGGGCTCCCAGGGCCCTGATCCGCGCTCTCCCGGCTGCCACCGCCACCGCCTGCGCTGTCAGGGCTGGTCCGGCGGAGGACGTGCTCTGTCCGGAGGCCCCTCAGCTTCCCCAGCAGCTCCTGGATGAAGTCCTGCGACAGGGAGGAAGGAAGGAAGGAAGGAAGGGGTGAGTCCCGCCTCTCTCCGGCCGGTGGGGAGAGAGGGTCAGAGGCCAGGGGGGGCCCACAGCCGGGTCACAGCGGCCGGCAAGGGAGGGGGGAAGCATTCCCAAGGAGAGCCAGATCCATCCGCTCCAGCATCCTCTTCTCAAAGGGACCAAATATCCGTCTACCTAAACCACAGAGCCTAGGGCTTGCCGATCAGAAGGTCGGCGGTTCGAATCCCCGCGACGGGGTGAGCTCCCATTGCTCGGTCCCTGCTCCTGCCAGCCTAGCAGTTCAAAAGCACGTCAAAGTGCACGTAGATAAATAGGTACCGCTCCGGTGGGAAGGTAAACGGCGTTTCCATGCGCTGCTCTGGTTCGCCAGAAGCGGCTTAGTCATGCTGGCCACATGACCCAGAAGCTGTACGCCGGCTCCCTCGGCCAATAAAGCGAGATGAGCGCCGCAATCCCAGAGTCGGCCACGACTGGACCTAATGGTCAGGGGTCCCTTTACCTTTAGGAGTCCAGGTAGACTGCCTCTGGAGCTGGAGGTTCCATAAGGACATCAGAAGAGCCTGGCTGTGGTCAAAGGGGCCCCACCCTCTCCAGCGTCCTCTTCTCACAGTGCCCCCCCCCCCGGAAACTGCTCCCCAGCTCCCTGCCTTGAGAGCAGCCAGGCTGGCTAGCCCTGGGGGGAGGGGCTCCATGCTTCTCAGCAGAAGGGATCCAGTGGGGGAGGCAGGGGATGCTCTTAGGAGTGACCAGCTGGGATTGGAACGCCAGGAATCCCGGGAGGATCCAGCAGCCATCCCAGCAGCCACCGGGAGGGAGGGGGGAGGGGGGAGGGGGAGGCGGTGTTGTGTATCTGGGTGGGGAGGGCTTTGCGCCAGCGATGGGAGCTGCATCCCCTCCTCCTCCTGCTGGGAGAAGCTTCATCCGGCAGGTGCTCGTGGGGGGGGCAGAGCGGCTAATTCCCCTCCCCCCTCCCCTGCAGGGTAAAAGCCAGAGGGGTCCCTGGGGGTCAAAGAGCAACGGCACCCACCTCTGTGTCCTTGTGGCAGGACTCCAAGATGCTCTGCAAAGAGAGGAGAATGAGGAAGGGCTGGGGGAGCCTGCCTTGCATCTCAGCCCCCTCCTCGGACCCTGGAATTTGGGGAGGGGGCAGTAGCAGAATCCCACTCCTCTTCGCTCCCGGTGCAGCTGTGAACCCCACCCCCCAGAAGCCTCCCTCCTGCCCAGGCCCCCTGGCCCCTCGGCCTGCTGCAAACTCATCTCCCCTTGGATAAAGTTGGGGTGCCCTTCCGCTTTAAGCTCTTTTGGTTTCGATTTATTACTATTTGGATTTCTTTCCAGCGGGCGCGGCAACATGGCAGGCGTGCTTATCAATTGCACCACTGGCCTTTACCCCGCGGATCCCTGGTTATTGCACCCAGGCCAGAAGCAGAACTCGCTTGCTCACAAATGCACAGAGGCTGGAAATCTTATCATCAGGAGCGCTGGATCCTGCCCACCGGCCTTGGGAGAGGACTGTAAAGAAGCTGTCTTATACAGAGTCAGACTACTAGTCCATCCAACTCAATACTGTCTGCACTGGCTGGCAGCACCTCCCGCCCAGCCCCACCTGGAAACGCCAGGGATCGGACCTGCAGCCTTGTGACCTTCCACACTACACAATGTCTCTTTCAGGGATCTCACCCAGAGGGGTTCCCTGCACAAAGCTCCCTCCCTCCAAATTTGGGGCACAGGAACATGGGGTGAGAGCGCTGCTCCACCCAGCGCAGTCTCCAGGCTGACTTGGGAAAGGCTCTGCAGGGTTTTGGACACAGGGCTGTTTCCCTGCCCTACCGGAAGATGCTGCCAGGCTAGGATGGGTAACCCCTTGCAAGCCACGCAGCTGCCCTGGCACTGAGATACCCCCCCCCAACGGCAGCAACCCCCTGCGCCAACCTGCAGCTTCTTGGCCCGCTCCTCGTCTGCGGCCATCTCCAGCAGATTGTCGATGTTCACCTCGTCCGGCATCTCTGCTTCCTGCAACGAAAGCCAGGGGGTCGAGTTGGGTCTCTGCGGGACCAAGGAAGCGCCCCAAACCTCAGGAAAGGGATCTTGTGCCCAAGCAAGGCCTCACCAGGGACCAGCCCCTTTAGAGGACTCTGGAATAGGGGGAGGGCAGCCACCACAAGCAGGCTAGCTAGGAGATCCCAAGAACAGAAGATGGGCCAAAGACCCATGGGGTCCAGCAGCCTGCTCTCACAGTAGCCAAACCAATGCCCTCATGGGAAACTCATAAGCGAGACCCGGGTGCAAGAGCAGCTCTCTCCCCTCCAGTGGTTTCCAGCGGATTCAGAAGCATCGCTGACCAGACAGGCAGAGCGTAGCTATTAGCCAGAGAGCCCTCCCTGTATGCTCTGCAAAGAGCAGAGGCCGGCAGCTCCGTCCCAGAAGCAACAGCCTTCGTCTCTATCGCAGTTGGCCCCTCTCCCCCTCCCAAATGCCCGCTCTGCCAGCCTCCTTCCTGAGTCTGCCCCTGCCGCTTGATGGAGGTAGAAACTGTCTCTCATGCCTTGTTACGCTGCCGTTTCTATGGGGATCTACACTCGGTATTCATCACAAAAATCTCAAAATGGGTCCGAACTTCAATGTCTAAAACTCCTGGTAGAGGACAAGGATCTGGAGATTGCGCTAAAGGTGGCCAAATTCTGTGCAGCTGCCATAAAACTTAGGGAACAAGTGGTACTACCAAAATGATTAAGGTTTTAAATGATAATTTTAGGTTATATTTTAGTGATCAAGATTTTATATATATTTGTTGTTGTTTAGTCGTTTAGTCGCGTCCGACTCTTCGTGACCCCCTGGACCAGAGCACGCCAGGCACCTCTGTCCTCCACTACCTCCCGCAGTTTGGTCAAACTCATGCTGGTAACCTCGAAAACACTATCCAACCATCTCGTCCTCTGTCGCCCCCTTCTCCTTGTGCCCTCCATCTTTCCCAGCATCAGGGTCTTCTCCAGGGAGTCTTCTCTTCTCATGAGGTGGCCAAAGTACTGGAGCCTCAGCTTCACGATCTGTCCTTCCAGTGAGCACTCAGGGCTGATTTCCTTCAGAATGGATAGGTTTGATCTTCTTGCAGTCCATGGGACTCTCAAGAGTCTTCTCCAGCACCATAATTCAAAAGCATCAATTCTTCGGCGATCAGCCTTCTTTATGGTCCAGCTCTCACTTCCATACATCACTACTGGGAAAACCATGGCTTTAACTATACGGACCTTTGTTGGCAAGGTGACGTCTCTACTTCTCAAGATGCTGTCTAGGCCTGTCATTGCCCTTTCTCCCAAGAAGCAGGCGTCTCTTAATTTCGTGGCTGCTGTCACCATCTGCAGTGATCATGGAGCCCAAGAAAGTAAAATCTCTCGCTGCCTCCATTTCTTCCCCTTCTATTTGCCAGGAGGTGATGGGACCAGTGGCCATGATCTTCGGTTTTTTGATGTTGAGCTTCAGACCATATTTTGCGCTCTCCTCTTTCACCCTCATTAAAAGGTTCTTTAATTCCTCCTCACTTTCTGCCATCAAGGTTGTGTCATCTGCATATCTGAGGTTGTTGATATTTCTTCCGGCAATCTTAATTCCAGTTTGGGATTCATCCAGCCCAGCCTTTCGCATGATGTATTCTGCAAACAAATTAAATAAGCAGGGAGACAAAATGCAGCCTTGTCGTACTCCTTTCCCAATTTTGAACCAATCAGTTGTTCCATATCCAGTTCTAACTGTAGCTTCTTGTCCCACATAGAGATTTCTCAGGAGACAGATGAGGTGATCAGGCACTCCCATTTCTTTAAGAACTTGCCATAGTTTGCTGTGGTCGACACAGTCAAAGGCTTTTGCATAGTCAATGAAGCAGAAGTAGATGTCTTTCTGGAACTCTCTAGCTTTCTCCATAATCCAACGCATGTTTGCAATTTGGTCTCTGGTTCCTCTGCCTCTTCTAAATCCAGCTTGCACTTCTGGGAGTTCTCGATCCACATACTGCTTGAGCCTTCCTTGTAGAATTTTAAGCATAGCCTTGCTAGCGTGTGAAATGAGTGCAATTGTGCGGTAGTTGGAGCATTCTTTGGCACTGCCTTTCTTTGGGATTGGGATGTAGACTGATCTTCTCCAATCTTCTGGCCACTGCTGAGTTTTCCAAATTTGCTGGCATATTGAGTGTAGCACCTTAACAGCATCATCTTTTAAAATTTTAAATAGTTCAGCTGGAATACCATCACTTCCACTGGCCTTGTTATTAGCAGTGCTTTCTAAGGCCCATTTGACTTCACTTTCCAGGATGTCTGGCTCAAGGTCAGCAACCATACTACCTGGGGTGTATGAGACATCCATATCCTTCTGGTATAATTCCTCTGTGTATTCTTGCCACCTCTTCTTGATGTCTTCTGCTTCTGTTAGGTCCTTACCACTTTTGTCCTTTATTATGGTAATCTTTGTACGAAATGTTCCTTTCATATCTCCAATTTTCTTGAACAGATCTCTGGTTCTTCCCATTCTGTTGTTTTCCTCTATTTCTCTGCATTGCTCGTTTAAGAAGGCCTTCTTGTCTCTCCTTGCTATTCTTTGGAAATCTGCATTCAATCTCCTGTATCTTTCACTATCTCCCTCTCATTTTGCTTGCCTTCTCTCCTCCGCTATTTGTAAGGCCTCGTTGGACAGCCACTTTGCTTTCTTGCATTTCCTTTTCATTGGGATGGTTTTCGTTGCTGCCTCCTGTACAATGTTACGAGCCTCCATCCATAGTTCTTCAGGCACTCTGTCCACCAAATCTAAATCCTTAAACCTGTTCCTCACTTCCACTGTGTATTCATAAGGGATTTGACTTAGATTGTATCTTACCGGCCCAGTGGTTTTTCCTACTTTCTTCAGTTTAAGCTTGAATTTTGCTATAAGAAGCTGATGATCTGAGCCACAGTCAGCTCCAGGTCTTGTTTTTGCTGACTGTATAGAGCTTCTCCATCTTTGGCTGCAGAGAATATAATCAATCTGATTTCGATGCTGCCCATCTGGTGATGTCCATGTGTAGAGTCGTCTCTTGTGTTGTTGGAAAAGCGTGTTTGTGATGACCAGCTTGTTCTCTTGACAGAACTCTATTAGCCTTTGCCCTGCTTCGTTTTGATCTCCAAGGCCAAACTTGCCAGTTGTTCCTTTTATCTCTTGCCTCCCTACTTTAGCATTCCAATCCCCTATAATGAGAAGAACATCCTTCTTTGGTGTCACTTCTATAAGGTCTTGTAAGTCTTCATAGAATTGGTCAATTTCAGATTCTTCAGCACCAGTAGTTGGTGCATAAACTTGGATTACTGTGATGTTAAAAGGTCTGCCTTGGATTCGTATCGAGATCATTCTATCATTTTTGAGATTGCATCCCAGTACAGCCTTCGCCACTCTTTTGTTGACTATGAGGGCCACTCCATTTCTTTTACGGGTTTCTTGCCCACAGTAGTAGATGTGATGGTCATCCGAACTGAATTCGCCCATTCCCGTCCATTTTAGTTCACTGATGCCCAGGATGTCAATATTTATTCTTGCCATCTCATTTTTGACCACCTCCAACTTACCCAGGTTCATGGTTCTTACATTCCAGGTTCCTATGCAATATTTTTCTTTACAGCATTGGACTTTCCTTTCGCTTCCAGGCATATCCGCAACTGAGCGTCCTTTCGGCTTTGGCCCAGCCGCTTCATCAGCTCTGGATCTACTTGTACTTGCCCTCCGCTCTTCCCCAGTAGCATGTTGGACGCCTTCCGACCTGAGGGGCTCATCTTCCAGCGTCATAACTTTTATATGCCTGTTGTCTTTGTCCATGGAGTTTTCTTGGCAGGGAGACTGGAGTGGCTTGCCGGTTCCTCCTCCAGGTGGATCACGTTTGGTCAAAACTCTCCACTATGACTTGTTCATCTTGTGTGCCCTGCTCGGCATAGTTCATAGCTTCTCTGAGTTCTTCAAGCCCCTTCGCCACGGCAAGGCAGTGATCCATGAAGGGGATATATTTAACTGCTGCTATATCTGAATTGGGAGTGCCTGATCACCTCATCTGTCTCCTGAGAAATCTCTATGTGGGACAAGAAGCTACAGTTAGAACTGGATATGGAACAACTGATTGGTTCAAAATTGGGAAAGGAGTACGACAAGGCTGTATTTTGTCTCCCTGCTTATTTAATTTATATGCAGAATTCATCATGCGAAAGGCTGGGCTGGATGAATCCCAAGCCGGAATTAAGATTGCCGGAAGAAATATCAACAACCTCAGATATGCAGATGACACAACCTTGATGGCAGAAAGTGAGGAGGAATTAAAGAACCTTTTAATGAGGGTGAAAGAGGAGAGCGCAAAATATGGTCTGAAGCTCAACATCAAAAAAACGAAGATCATGGCCACTGGGCCCATCACCTCCTGGCAAATAGAAGGGGAAGAAATGGAGGCAGTGAGAGATTTTATTTTCTTGGGCTCCATGATCACTGCAGATGGTGACAGCAGTCACGAAATTAAAAGATGCCTGCTTCTTGGGAGAAAAGCAATGACAAACCTAGACAGCATCTTCAAAAGCAGAGACATCACCTTCCCAACAAAGGTCCGTATAGTCAAAGCTCTGGTTTTCCTAGTAGTGATGTATGGAAGTGAGAGCTGGACCATAAAGAAGGCTGATTGCCGAAGAATTGATGCTTTTGAACTGTGGTGCTGGAGGAGACTCTGGAGAGTCCCATGGACTGCAAGAAGATCAAACCTCTCCATTCTTAAGGAAATCAGCCCTGAGTGCTCACTGGAAGGACAGATCGTGAAGCTGAGGCTCCAATACTTTGGCCACCTCATGGGAAGAGAAGACTCCCTGGAAAAGACCCTGATGTTGGGAAAGATGGAGGGCACAAGGAGAAGGGGACGACAGAGGACGAGATGGTTGGACGGTGTTCTCGAAGCTACCAGCATGAGTCTGGCCAGACTGCGGGAGGCAGCGGAAGACAGGAGGGCCTGGCGTGCTCTGGTCCAGGGGGTCACAAAGAGTCGGACACGACTAAACGACTAAACAACAACAACAATATCTGAATTATCTCTGTTGTACCCAAATGCAATTGGATTTTGTGTTTTATGATTTTCCTGATATTGTAAGTGACCCGGAACTGGTCTGTGACCGTAATAATAAAATTCATTCATTCACCATCCTTCCTGCAAAGACTTGGCTGGTGGCGCCACTCCCAAACTCCCTCTAGAAGGAGGGAGCTGCTGCCCCTATGCCTTCCTCCAGCCCTGGGCTGCTAAGAGGGGTCTTGCAGAGGGGGCTGCGGAAGGCAGAAGAGGCCGGGCCACGCTCCGCTTGTGCCTTGGCCCCCAGCAGCCCCCAGCCCTGTCGCCCACGGAGGAGTGGGCCAGCTTTTATTTGCTTTCATTATCTTCGTTTTGCTGGCTGAAAGGGTCAAAAGCCTTCTGGGGTGGCTTGCAAAGTGGAACCTGGCCTATGCACACACACACATACCAAACATTAAAATATCCCTGAAAAATAAAAGGGCAAGATCAGTTAAAGGCAGGCGACTCCCTCCAGGCCTTTTTCAGACCTGTTTGTCAAGGCGGGAGCCTATTCCGTAAGGATCGGGCATCCCGTAGGGATCAGGCCCTGCCGGGAAAGGCCGCCTCCTTCCTCCTCTGCCGGCCAACCGGACAGACCTGCACTGCAGGGCCTCCTGATCGGAGGCCTGAGCTGTTGACACGCCTGCAGACAGTCCCGGAACCCAACCCAGCCCATCGGGGCCCCAAAGGGAGACCAGCAGCGCTTCCCACTGGGCTCAGCCAGGGCAGCCGGCAGAGAACCAGCTCTCCCCATCGCTTGCCCCAGTAGCTGCAGCCTCCCAGGGCGTCCTGACCTGAGCAAAGGGGTTCAGGGGGAGGTCTGCAGGCAAGGCAGGGGCACAGGCTGCTGTGTCCCCCCCCCCCCACTGCTGTGCGGCTGCAGAATTCGCCAGCCAGCTGAGTCCTGCTCCGCTCGCTGCAACTCCCCTGGGATGCGCCAAGCCAGCCGGGCTGGAAACTTTCCTTTCATGGCAGGGTTGCGGGCGCCTCTTTTATAGATGGGTCTGGCTCCTCTCCGCCCCCCGCCCCCCCACCTCGCTCCCTCCCAGGCCTCAGGCTGCAGGAATGCATTCTCTTCCTCTCGAAAAGCCACTCTTTCGTGGGACCAGCTGAGGTCTGCCCCCCCCCTGCAAGCCACCCCAAAGCAGCCCCTTCATGGGGGACAGGAGGAGGAGATGCTCACCGACAAACCGCCCTGTGGGCTTGGGATGAAGGGCAGGATATTAATTCAATTAATAAAGGCAAAGTCAATAGGTCCAGGTCGCCTCCAAGAGCAGCACAGAAATGATCTTAATTATTATTATTGTTGCTCTTATTAATAATCACAGGGGCAGCATCCTTGCGTACTTCCAGGGGGGTCTGGGAAGGGACCCGAGTTCTGATTCTGCCTTTCATTGCTCTGCAATATTGGGAGACAGAAGCCACACTGGCGGGGGGGGGGCACCAAGAGCAGGCAGGGGGGCCCTCCCAGAGGAGCTGGACTGGGGTGGCAGCAGGGGAGGGAGAGGGGATGGGCAAACAAGAGCAGCCCCATGGCGGGTGGGCAGAGGCCTGTGCATGTGGGGCTGGGGGGTGCAATGTGGGATCCGCAGGAGAAGAAAGGCCTGGGTGAAAGAAGGGCCACCAAGGAAGGAAGGAAGGATCCAGACTCTCCAGCCAAATCAGAGCAGAAAAGGGTTCCCATTAGGAGACAGTGCAGAGAGAGACAGTGTGGCATAGTGGTTGGAGTCGGACCTGGGAGACCAGGGTTCAAAGCCCCACTCAGCCATTAAGTTCACTGGGTGACTTGGGGGACAAATCACGGCATCTCTCAGCCTAGCCTCCCTCACAGGGTTGTTGCAGGGACACATCCTATGCCCTTTTAAAATGTGTTTTTCTGGGGGGGGGGGGCAATTGGGTTGTTGTTTTTATTTTTATTATGTATTTTGTGGTTTTATAGCTTGATTTTATTCTGCGAACCGCCCTGAGACCCCTGGGTATAGGGCGGTTTATTATTATTATTATTAATAATAATACAGTAATAAATGGGGAGAACCACGTGCCCCACTTTGAGCTCCTTGGAGAAAAGGGTGGGAAATAAATGCAAGGAATAAATAAACAACGCAGGCCAGCTTCTTCCTTCACCAGAATCAGACCGGCTGCCCCATCTTGCTGGGACTGGGCCGGCCTCTCTGGTCCCCCCAGTCCTGCCTGGCGCCTTGGCAGTTCCCTGCCCCTGAGCGGAGAGCCTCTCCCCCCATTTCACATCCTGGCACCATATGTCTTGGGCAGTGCCTTAATCCTGCCCGAGGGCAAGTAATCAAGAAAGATCGAGAAAGGGATTTGGCGAGATTAATGGGGATTCGGAAAGTCACACAGAAATATTGGGGTGGCAGGAGAAGAAAATGGAAGGGGGTAAAGGGCGGAGAATAGGCTGCCGCCCCCCAGGGGGGCCGGGAGGGAGAAGGGGCTGCAGCAGCCGACCTGTTCCAGCTTCAGGGATGCCACACACAGCCGGGCGATGGCATCCGGGGCAAGAGATGAGCAGGCCTGGCTGGATCACAGATCCCTGGCACAGGAAGAGAAAGGATCACAGACCTGTAGTGCGAAAAGGGACCCCAGAGTCATCTGCTCCCACCCCGGGCCATGCAGGAATCTTTTGCCCAAAGGGGGGCTCAAACCCACCAGCTGCTGCCCCAGCAAGGACCAGGAAAGTGGGGGCAAGCAGCTCCATCCTGAGGCTTCCTGGAAACAGCGACTTCCCTCCTGGTGACCTACAAAGAGCCCACGCAGTGGCTGGGAGTTCCGCAGGCTAAATGAGCCCTGCTTCTTCCGTAAGAGGATTCCGCTGCCGCTCTCGTGTTGCCCAAGGTCCCTTCTCGGCAGCTTCTGAGCGGGGAGCATCTCTTTGGCCCGACCCTAAAGCCTTCCTCCGTGCGTGAGCCTCCTTTGGAAGCAGCGGGTTGGGCTCGATGCCCCCTGGAGTTCCCTTCCAGCTCCACGCTCCTCGGCTGCTAAGCCCACACGCCGCGCCATGCAGCCGAGACCCCCGCCTCCAGCCCCTCACCAGATGCGCCTCTTGCCCCCAGATGGCAGCCCGGATCCTGCCCCTCCTTCCCCCGCTGTCGAGGCGGCGCCTGCAGGGGGAGCGGCGGGGCGGCATCAGCCGCCGCGCCGGAGGAACCCGCGGAGTCTCCCCGAGAGGCTTCCGACGGGGCGGGCGGGCGGGCGGGCGTCCCTCCGGCCCTCGCTTCCCCTCCCTCCGGCCCGCTCACCTGTCCCCGGTAGAGCTCCTCCAGGCGGCCGTCGATCCACTTCTCGGTGTCGAGGCGCCGCTGCAGCTCCCGCCGGTCGTACTTGACGGTGACCCTCGCCTGGCGCCGCTGGATGCCCGGGCTGGGCGTCCTCTCGGCCGCGCGCCCGCCCCCCGGAGACAGCCCGGCCGGGCGCGCCGGCGAAGCCCGTCCCAGGCGCCGCCCCACCCGGTTCGCAGCCATCGCTCGCGCCGCCGCCGCTGCCCGACGGGGCGCCCGCCGCCCCACCGCGCCTTATAGCGGGCGAGGGGCGGGCGGGGCGGGGAAGGGCGGCATGGCGCCCCGCCCCACGGCGGGCCCGGACGGGGCGGGCGGCCCCCCAGCGCCACCTCCCGGCCGGCCCCGTCCAGGCCAGGCTGCGCGCCGCCAGGGAGACCCGAAGGCTCAGCGTCCCGTTGCGCGGGGAAGTCTCCAGCCAGATGCCTCGGAGAGGCTGCCCTCTTGGCAGGTTGGCTGCCCCGAACATGGAGGCTCCATGCACCGCCCCCCCCCAATATATCTCTTTCCTCCACGCACTTGTCTTTTAAGGCTGCCCATCATCTCATGGCGAGGGATTCCTCAGGAGGGAAGGTGCGTAAAAGACTTTTTGGCCCCTTGATTCCTTGGGTCCTTCTGAACCGGGAGCCGGGAGGTTGGGGTGCTGGGCACCCAGCCTTTGGGAAGCGGGTGGGGGGAGAAGCCGGGGTTGGGCCAGAGGGCAGAGGATGATTTGGGGATGGGGGAGTGGGAAGGCGGTGAGACCACTCATGGGGATGTGAGGGGGGTCTTGAGCGGGGGTCTCCGTGCTTTGCCATCCCAATTGCTCACAGTTCTGCCCTGTGGGAAGCGAAAGAGCGGGGCGGGTGGGAGCAGCCTGGGAGGTGGGGGCTCCCCGACCCACTTCTGAACCAGGCAGCTGGGCAGGAAGGAAGGGAGGAAGGGAGACGCGCAGCTCCTCTGCCTGTTCTCGTCCTTCTTGCCAACGTGACGCCCACGGGCTGCAGAGGGAAGCGGGGGGGGGCAGATGGGGCTCCTCAGCCGGGGAAGGGAGAGCTGTTACAAAATTTCGGGGTGCACAAATAGCAGACACACGGCCCACAGAAAACCAACCCTTCACCCTTCAGATTTTGGGAAATATTCCCTAAGAAAACTACCCTTTTAGCACACAGAACAATCCCAAACAAGCCATCTTGGCTCTCTTCGTGACTCCAAATATTTCCTTAGAGCCCATTTAGGAGAAGGAAATAAAACTCGCATCCTAAACCTCGGCTGCCTTGTGGGATTTTCCAGCAGAAGAAAAAGCTAAGGAATAAAACCCGAATAAATCTGGAGTGGGGTCCCTGAGACGCTTGGATGGCATCTCGCACTGCGACTAATCTTATTATTATTTATAATATTTTTATTGAATTTTCAATTTTACATTTCCAAATAAACATTTTACAAACTTTGAAATATCCAGTGACATCCTTTCTTCTCTTTCTGTGGTTCATTTTACATATCATACATCCCTGATTATTTTACTATAACTATTCAAATCATTTTTCCACTTTTACATCCATCATAAATGATTTACTCTGTTGATGCTGCCAGCGTTTTGAGCTGCATAGGTATTTTCCATATATTCAATAAACGTTTTCCAATCTTCTTTAAACCTATGTTCTTCTTGCTCTCTTATTCTATGTGTTAAATCTGCAAATTGTGCATATTCTGTCACTTTAAGTTGCCAACACTTTTTAGCTGGGACCTCCCTCACTTTCCATTTTTGGGCTAACAAAACATGGGCCACAGCTGTTGCATACATAAATAACCTTTTCCTGACACCTAGGAATTTCAGTCTGGGTTATCCCCAACAAAAATAACTCTGGGGTTTTTTTTGGGGGGGGTGGTTAAGTAATTTTAAACTTTTTTTCCAATTCATTATAAATCATTTCCCAATACACTTTTAGCTTTTTACACTTCCACCACATGTGGAAGAATGTTCCCTCCGCTTCTTTACATTTCCAACACAGATCTGATTCTGTGTTATAAATCTTAGCCAATCTACTCGGAGTTAAACACCATCTATGAATCATTTTCAAATAATTCTCTTTCAATGAATAACATGCTGTACATAGAATAGAATCATAGAATCATAGAGTTGGAATAGAGAACAAGGGCCATCGAGTCCAACCCCCTGCCAAGCAGGAAACATTTCAGGTCGCTTTTCCGGAGTTTTTCCCAGAGGTTAAGATCTATATTGTGGGCGGTTGCAGGATGGTGGATCGGGAGGAGGCGCTGAGGGAGTTCATGACTGGGGCTGAGGAGGCGTAAGCGCGCTTCTTCCTGTGGGAATGTTCGGGAGATGAATATATTGTTTATTAATATCCTTCCTAATTTGTGCTAAAGGGTTAAACCACAGAGCCTAGGACTTGCTGATCAGAAGGTTGGCGGTTTGGATCCCCGCCATGGGGTGAGCTCCCATTGCTCAGTCCCAGCTCCTGCCCACCTAGCAGTTCGAAAGAATGTCAAAGTGCAAGTAGATGAATAGGTACCGCTCCGGCGGGAAGGTAAACGGTGTTTCCGTGTGCTGCTCTGGTTCGCCAGAAGCGGCTTAGTCATGCTGGCCACATGACCTGGAAGCTATACGCCGGCTCCCTCGGCCAGTAAAGCGAGATGAGCGCCGCAACCCCAGAGTCGGGCACGACTGGACCTAATGGTCAGGGGTCCCTTTACCTTTAACTTGTGCTAGCAAGTTCCTTAACTTAGCAGAGTTTCACATTCCCCTTTTAAATGCACAGCAGATAACTGGTTGCAGGCTTGTGTGAGCCTCTCACTATTAGGTTCCTGGTAAGTTCCCTTATTTCCCTCTTAAAAGAATAAACATGCCACAATCTTGTGTAAAGTATATAAAAGTTGTTTACTCACATCATCAGTTCACAGTGGGATTCCTGAAGGCAGACTTAGTTACAAAGGATATACATGTGGATCTATCCCATATGGGGATAATCCCAGTGTCCTCTGGTGGCTGGAAACCAACAGAGCATCTCTAGCTAAACAGCTGCTCCAACGACAGAGGAAGTCAAGGGGGGGCTGCATGCCTTTTGTTACCTGGACAGGTAAGGTCACACCCACCTCTAGTCACATGCAAAGGACGTATGTCCCAGCCGGGAGGAAACAGGAAGTTTTTGACTGGCTGAACCAAACATTCCCCCGCATGTCCACTCTAGGAAAACAAGGAATGTTGTACTGCTTGTACCTTGTCTGTCCATATTAACTTTCTTAATTGTGATTGCTTCAATGGGAGATAGCCATAAAGGTGTTTTTCTTTCCAGCAGATTTTTATATTTCTCCTAAGAAATATATATTTATATTTTCTTCCTAAGAATGTGGTTCATAAAACTCTTGCAGATTTTAGCCTTCCCATACCAGACATGCATGCCAGCTGAATTTTAAATCTTGACCCTCTAAATCTAAGATGTCTGCATTATCCAATACAATCCATTCTTTTAACCAACACAGACAAGCTGCCTCAAAATAATTTGCAAATCTGGCAGAGCAAAGCCTCTTCTTTCTTTTGTATTCTTTTGTATAATTTTATGTTTAATTCTTGGCTTCTCCCCGTCATATAAATTATGAGATATCTTTTTTCCATTCTTTGAAGCAGTTTAAATTATTCACAATTGGGATTGATTGGAATAAAAACAGCATCCTAGGCAATAAATTCATTTTAATAGCTGAAATTCTACCTAACAGGGAGAGTTTCATTCTCCCCCATATCTCCAACTCTTTCTACAATTAATATAATTATTTTCAAATAGGATGAGATTTCTTACTGTCAGTCAGATTCCCAAATACCCAACTTTTTCGACTATTTTTAGACCAGAAATCCTTTCTTTAAAAAATTTCAACTGCTCATCCATGTTTTGAAACAACATTTTGGTTTTATCTGAATTTACTTTAAAACCTGCCACTTCTCCAAAACTTTTAATTTCTTCTAATGCTTTGGGACCACTCTCCAAAGGTTGTTCTAGTGTCAGCACTGCATCATCAGCAAATGTCCTTAATTTATAAACTCTACGTCCCACCTCAGTACCTTTAATTTTCCTATTTCTCCTTATACTGCTAATGTCATAATAAACAACAGTGGATACAGGGGGCAGCCTTGTCTCGTTCCTTTTTCTATTTGGCATTTGTCTGAAAAAAAATTATTTATTAATATATTTGAAGATTGATCTATATAGATTGCTTTAATTCCTGCTAGGAAAGAATTACCTGTTTCCATTTTCTCTAAAACCTTGTTCATAAATGACCACGAAATATTGTCAAAAGCTTTCTCCGCATCTAAAAAGATCAATGCAGACTATTTTTCATTTCTTACTTCCAAATACTCTATTAAATTAATTACATTTTTTGTATTGTCTTTCATTCTGCTAATTTTATTAATTGCACCCAGCCTGATTGGGTTGCACTCTGTGTGCCTCCTTCTGGCAACTCCTGCAGCCCAGACTATGCCCAGGGTCCTGCTCTGCTTTCCTGGGCCATGTCGGTGAGGCTGGTGGACCGGTGCTCGAACTCGGCACAAGGCAGCTTCCTCGTTTCCACAGGGGGGGTCACCACTTACCAGTTCCGAAAGGGGAGCTCCTCTCCTCGGACGTCCAGTCCTGGGAATCAACACAACAGGCAGAAACTCCAAAGGGGCTGTTATGTACTGAGTTGAATAGGATCCAAACTGCAGCAGTCTGATTGGTCCTAGAACAATAGGATCCAAAAGGCAGCAGTCTGATTGGTCCTAGAACAATAGGATTCAGAATGTAGCAGTCTGATTGGTCCTAGAACAATGCAGCAGTATGATTGGTTGGCAGGAACTACCCAATTATGCTCCAGATAGAAGTGAATCCACAACCTGATTGGCTTACAGTAGAATTCCGGAATTAGCCAATCATGTGCAGCCCATTGTGTAAATAATGTATATAAAGCAGATACTTTGAGGGGACCTTCATTCATTCCTCCTCACCACTATGAGCTGAATAAAGAGCATGAAATCACTTTGCGACTCTGAGTATATTTCACTGGCGACGAAGGTGGGATCCCGCTGAGCTGACTGCCACACACAGCACCGCAGCACCGCCACCTGCCGCACCGCTGCCTCGCACCGTGTATCCAGGCTTCAGCTCCGGGACACAAGGAACTCAGAATGGCAACCGACAACAGCTTCTCGCCGTTCAACCCAGCATCTGGAGACTGGGAAGCGTACGCCTCCCGTTTCACCTTCCTTCTAGAAGCCAAAGGGATCACCGATGAAGAAGACGCCAAGAAGAGGGCGATATTCTTCAGCATCTGCGGAGAGGAGACATTTGAAATCGCCCGGGCTCTCCTTGCACCTGAAGACGTCGCTACTGTTCCATACAAAACAATAATGGGAACAGCTGAAGGGGCACTTTTCGCCACAGCCCTCAGTGGTGGCTCGTCGAAATGCCTTCTACGCAAAGCGGCAAGCCCCTGGGGAAACCATAACTGGGTTTGTGACCTCTCTCCGCCAAGCCGCCCGGTTCTGCAACTTCTCAGAGCTGGAGAACATGCTTCGTGACCGCCTCGTCGGTGGCCTGAAGGATGAGAAGCTGCAACGACGCCTCTACGCTAAGAAGAACCTAACGTTCCAGGTCGCTCTGGAGGAGGCCCTGGCAACGGAAGCTGCCGAGAGGTCGACACAAGAGGCACGGCCGAGCCAGCCGTCCCAACCGAGGGTCCACCACGAAGACCTCACCGATGACTCAGGATCCAACAGGGAGGAGGTGCACCGAGTACAGCAGCGCACTCAAGCAGCCCACACACCACAGCTGCCTCGACGAGAAGGAGGGAACTGCGCAAGCTGTGGAGAAAGTCACGAGAGGAGGACCTGCCGTTTCCGCAACGCAGAGTGCAGGCAGTGCAGAAAATTGAGACACATCGCCCGGGTGTGTCGGGCTCGGCCCACCCGACGCCAGGCATCAGATGACCAATCCAAGAGCCCCAGGTCCCGGGGCCCAACGCACCAAGGCAACTCGACGGAGCTCACGGACTTCCAGGTATACCAGTTGCCCCACCCCAACGTAGAGAAAATTTATGTTGATGTACAGATAGAGGGGGCCCCATGCCGCATGGAGCTTGACACGGGTTCAACTCTATCCATAATCTCGGCAAGGACCTTAAGGAAACTGTGTCCTACTGGGGGTCCCAAACTCAGGCCGGCCCCATTCACCCTCCGGGACTTCCAGAAACGTAAGGTCCCCACCATGGGGGTGGGGACCTTCAGGGTGCAATACCGAGGGCGGACGCGGCAACTGGACTTGCTGGTGGTCAAGGGCCCCTACATTAGCTTACTGCGATTGGCATGGTTTGGACCACTGGGGCTAGCCAACACCGGGGTGAACCACACTAGCTTACAAGTGGACGTGGACGCCATATGCAAGGAATTTCCGGGGGTTTTCG